ATATTACGTTATATTACGAATTAATGGCGTCTTTTATAAATACGACTTATGAGACTATTTTTGAGAACTTTAACTGTAAGCTGTATAAAGCAATCTTCTCGCCCGCCTTCGAGAATGCAGCACACGTTATTTTCATTCGTTTGTCGATTTGAGAAAAACAACCCGTTTCGTGTTGACGAACAAGATCACGACGACGTTTTATAAATTATTCATACCAATCCTCCCTTTCTCCCCACTGTCTTACATATGCGAAATTGCAGCGAAAGTTTGACCGTGGGATATTAAAATCTTTTTTTTTTTTTTTTTCACGTATTGTACGAATCTTCTTTTTTTTTTTCACATGTTACTATCAAATAAGACATTGTTCGTCTCACGCTATGAAAACGGGCCGTAGAAAGAAAGCAGTTTGCATAACGTGAATACAAAAGACATAATCGCCGTCTGGAAAAGTTGTCTAAAGGAATTCCCCGATCCCGTGCCAAACGCGCCCCGACCATCGCTTGCGACGCCGCCGTAAAACCAATTACGCCTCGTAGCATACTGTAATTTACATTCGTTTGTTAGTGTGAGTCCCGTCAAAGTTCCGTTTGCTTTCCGCCGTGTATCCCGTGTCGATCATTGTTCATCATTCTCCCGCTCGTTTTCGTGACGTTTGCTTGTCACGCTCCAGCACGGTCCGTTAACAGTCGATACCACCTAATCCTCGAGGATCGCATATGATGCGGCAACGATATCGTTTAGTACCCTGCAAGATAGTATTCTCCGACTAGATATTCCGCGTGCTTGCATCTTGTGACTTTATCTTAACATCGCTACTTCTGCATATCGTTAAATTTCGCACGTCTATTAACATTCTTTGCCATGGTACTCTCTGCTATGATTAACTCTCAATATATACCGTTACCAACAATAATAAATTGTGTAGGTAACAATGCATCCCTCGAGATAGGATATCTAGGATATCTAGGATCTATCTTTCTATCGCTTCAGACGCTTCCTATCTTTAGATTTATTAGGTGTATAGACGTAGGTCAGGCATGACGTGACGCGGTATATTCAGAATAGTCGAAATGGAGAATGATGGTTGTGGGCTCGCTCTTCGGTGAGTATTTCGGGGCTCTGGAAGTATTCTTCTGTTGTAGGAATTACTGCTGCCGCTACACTCAGGCAAGTTCAGAAGCACACCTCCGCTAAAGTAGTAAAGCGCTTGTGTGTCGCCAGATTAAAGTACGTAGACGCACCTTAGAGTAACGTATGACTGTCACTTTTCTGCACTTCTGACGTGAGTATCTCGAAGTTTCACGGGCCTCGCTGCGCGAATATCATGTACGCTCCGGAGCCTCGCCCGAGGATATCATTTGCCGAAAGAAGCGAGCGTTGAACACGAATCCGTTTTGCTTCTGGCGCTTTACGGCGCTTTACAATGTTCGTCACTGTTCCCCTGCTGAACGTCTGAAATGTCGAAAATGTGTTGATGTTGAATGAAAGAGTTTACAGTAGCTTTAACGTACTTATTCCACAGAGTAACGACTTTATGTTGTTGCGCATAAATATTCACTTCTAACATATATTCACTTCATAAATTTATTATATATTTAATATACATCAATTACTAATAACGAAACAAATCTCTTTCCGTGCGTAACATACGTGTACATTCCGTTTCCTTTTCATCGATAAAATGCTGATCATACGTTTCGCAACGGCTATGAAACATAAATTATTCAAGTGGCAGTAGTACATCGTAGAAAATCAATGTTATGTAACTGGCAATGTGAAGTGAAATTAATCTTGGAATTGAACTTGTAATTCTTTTATGTCACGAGTGATGAAGCGTTGATACAAATTAAAACAATAAGACTCTCCACTCCTGCATCCTAATTTATTTTATCGTTATATAAGATATTTCGTTTCACATCGCTGCTACTATTATTTATTATTGTTTTTGTGTACGTGAGAGAGAGAAAGAGAGAGAGAGTGTAATATGTGTTATAACTTAAATAGAGCATGTACACGTAAGCATGAGAAGCACATACATACACATCATGTCAGCCGATTCTCAGCATCACGTTTTATTCGCACTGGATAATTATTATATCTGATAACAATGACAGGACGTGTAATTCTCGAAAGGGAAAGTAGACTCAATTTTTATACTAACTTATTTAACCATATTACTAACTTCCCGTTGACTCCCCTATTCTTTTTATCTAATTCCATATTGCGTGAATTATATTTTTATTAACTATACGAAATAACATTTCCACACACAAACACACACACGCACACACGTTAAGAAGATTACTTTTTAATTATATTATAGATTTGTTATTAACAGAATTTTTGCGTATAAAGCTGCTTCTCTTTAGACTTTATTAAGTATATTAGCCATAATTAATATATCCCGCAATATCGTATTTTTTAATAAATAGCTTCCTTTTCTTTTTATTCGGTTCTAACTCACTTGCAATATTCTTTTATCAATCTTCCCTTTTTCTCGCTGTCTGTACGAGACATAGTTTCAAATGATTTTCTATTTTATTTCAGAAATAAAAGCAAGGAAAAAGCATGCAGGTAAGAAATAATTTCTTTGGTGTCCGCCGAGCGTTTTAGTAGAGCGTTTTTAGAGACTAACTTAGCGCATGAGAAACAAGCTAAATAGATATTAACATCAGAGCATTAGTTTCCTTTTTATTCCATCAATTTTATAGTTTTAATAACCCCGCTTATAATCGTATAGTATCAGTTTTTTAATTTTATAATAATCGAAGAGTACTATATTTCCGTTTGTGTAGCATTAATTAACGTAGAAAAGTATAGATGGTCATCAGAGATATACGCGTGTCTGTCGATCGACCGTATATTCTTCCATTGTAAAAAAAGTTACGTTGTAATAAGTAAGAGAACTGCAAGAGCATCGTAACAGAGCGATTGATTGAATACACAGAGAAAGATCTTGGTTTCCTACGAATTGGCTCGTTGAACGTTCGCGTGAAACGTACTACGGAAGCCTTCAGCCAATTCCTGGGTGTGGCAACCAGCAGTACGACTAACAACAACAACAACGAGAAGATTCACAAATCGTGGGGATCCGCAGATAATGTTCAGGTACTATTCTCTTAGGTTCAGTGTGTCATATATTGAATTGAACACGTTACAGATTAAGATAATGTATAAATTCCGTAGTGAAAAATATACATATTTAGTTTCCTTCATTAAATACGTCTGTTCGCGTTGCTTGAAATCTCCAAAAAAGTATGCGCTATATATATATGTATAATTACATATTAAAAAATATATGAATATATAATAGAAATATATAATTATACAAATTAATGGAAACGTATAAATAGAATAAAGTCAAATGCACTCATATTGGTTAATAGAATCATTAATAACGCAACATGCAGTGTTACTTGTCCATTCTAATTTCTCGCGTGTTTCGCTCTGACGTTTCTCGTCGCAAGCTGGAGCAGAAGCTGATGCCACCGCCGAAGTACGCGCCCATCAAGAAGCGCAGGAGCAGACGGCCGCAGGATTTCGGTTCATCGCAGGAGCGGCAGCAGGTTGCCAGTCAACCAACTACTCCGTTGCTGCAGGGTAAGATGAGCCGATCGAGCCGGACCGTTCAGCGTCGACCAACGTCTACGACATCGATCAACTCTAACTCCATCGCGTCTGGTAGCGTTCAGCAAAACGGCGATTCCGACTCCGACACGACATGCGGTTTCGATTCCGCGTGGCGAGGATCGGCCCAACTATAACTAGCCTAATTCGTTATTCGAGATAGCGTCGCTCACGCTTATTCAACTACACGAAGCATAGGAAAGTTTAGATCTTAAGAAACTTTAGAGACCGACGGTATCTCTGACAATTCTTTCAAAAATGGCGGAAACAAAGATCCATGTGCACGATTCTCGCTAACGATTGCATCTACATTAAAGACTTTTTAATATACAAAACAATTATTTAGAAAATTATTTTTCTCTTAAATTATTCTTATTTCGCAGAATCTTATTGTTTACGACACAGAAAATCTGATGATAAAAATTGTGAATTTTCAGATACAATTTTTTCATAAAAATTTTATTACGTGTGATTCAAATCTCGTTTTGTTTAATAAGTTTATTAAATAATTTGTTTTTTATATTTAAAATAAATTATTTTATGTACATGATATATTGTCATTCTTTATTTCAGTCAAAATGCTCAAGTTTAACTTCAAATTGTGTATATAAAATAAATATATTTTTTATGTACTTTATTTACGTATAGAAATATATTTTGTAAGCTGCAGAGCGTAATTTAAGGATGTTTAATATTACGCTTATATATATCTATTACAATAGAAATCGCAAAATATTTTAAATTTACAAAACAAATTTTTTTATACGTTTCACGATATGTACAATTTCTATATTTGTATTCACGACATTGCCATCGTTGTACATACTACGTTATTCATATATTAGCATTTTACGCATAAAATTTTAGACAATTCGGTGCTTAATTGTATGATGACTAACGCTTAAGATTTATTTTATTAATGCAGAAAACTATGCGTACTTAACAATAAGAAATAAATTGTTGTTAATAAGCGTACAGGGCGACAGTTATTATTTATATCAAATTTTATATTATTTAAGCAATAAACATCACATTTGAGATTACATTAAAGTATTTTATCTTTAATTTCTTATATATGTAGAAGAGAGATGTATTTTTTGAACTGATGTACACCAAACAAATTTATATTTTGTAGAATACCTAATGTAAAAATTATATTATTTTGTGTATGTATTATATATGTATTGTTATATATATATATATATATATATATATATATATAACACACATACACAAAACTATACTTATTGATAACATCACACATCATTAACTGAAATAAGTTTAGTTCGTTTTCTAGGATTCCTTACTATAATTCCCTTCAATCTTTTTCTAGAATAAAAGCCTCTTTTAAATTACGATGGAAGTTCAATCTCAAGAACGACCATGTTGTTTTATTGTTCTAAATTCAAAAGGTGATATCTTCTCATTAAAGAAGACATGGTTAATGAGAAACGGAAATGATACAGGAATTGCAGAATCAAGATTTGAACAATGATTTTTCCTTTTGCTACCTTGATTCTGCAAAGTTCTGTATAATCTCCATTTTTCATGAATGATGTCTTTATAATTTCTTCTGTAATTGGGGTTGTTGAAATAGAGATTATTTATCTGAGAATAGACCGAATGGCTCTGAGAATAAAAGATTCAATTTTAAATATTTTTATCATAGATATAAATAACTTCTTCCAGACAAATATTAAATTTCATAGGTCTTTGGAAGAGACTTATGAAATTTAATATTTGTTTTAATATCTCGTGAGACGATATGTTAACTTCTGCGAGTATATCTATATTAAGCCAGAGTTATTTATATTAGTTATTCTTCCAGAGCTTTTATGACCTTCCTCCAGAAGTGTTAATTTGATATAAGATTTGAGTTTTTCAAAACATTTTAAACAGGGAGAAAGTAACTCTGGATCATATCTCAAATAAAAGGCAATACCATGAGCAATTTGAATAAGTTCAACAAATTGAGAGCACATAGGAATTTATGTTTAACTTTTTCCATACTATGTTTATTTTTTTGCAATCAATGTCTTCATGAAAACATTTAGCTATAAAGAGAAATTGGAAAACTTCAGTTTCATGATGTATTGCATTAGTTAGAGCATGAAGATAGAGGTGCGTCATCTTTCCTGCAAATGTATTAGTGTTTTCGCATGGATATCATTTAATTGCAACAGTTTTTGCAATGAATTCTGAAAAAAAAATCCTTTTTCTTCTCTGGAAGAAGAATATCAAGACTGAGTGTAGCAAACAGAAACTGAATTCACCTAAGAATATCCTTATCCGTTTTTCTTAATTCATCACGAGCTTCTTCAATGTTAGCTATGCTCGTTTCAAGTGCTTCAACGCCTTTAATCTGATTTACAGATTTCTTTTCTAGTTTTTTTGAGTCTTTGGATTTGTCCTTTTCTACCGAAAAAAAAACTTGAAGGTTTTATTTCTGTATATTTCACGACAAAGAGCTTCTCCTCGCGGTTAGATATTAAAGAATAATTCAATTCCGGACACCACACAGATAATTTTGATTGCGGTAATGGTACTCACCATAACGTTCTCACTGCGGATGGATCTTAAATAAAGTTCGAATTTGTCTCTTTTTAAAAGAAAGAAGACAAGGACGCTTCATTTGCTTCTCATTCTCATTCATAATGAAGAAAATTCAAGAAAATCTAACTTCGTTTTAGAGTTTTATAGGTTCAACTTTTACCTCTATTAATTTCGTTGTGTTATATCTTCGATGTGTGTTCTGGCGACATCCTTGCACGATCAAGAGAAACTTTCAACTCGAAAGGTAAGCAAATCGTTCTCTCCTTAGGTAACGCTTTTGCCATGTATTTTTTCTGACTTTAAGCGCCAGATGGACATTCATCCTATAATGGAGGTTAGTGGAGAACGTAGAACTGGTGGAAGTCATGGAGCAAGTGTGAAAAGTATGTGAACAATGTGAACACTACCAGAGGTAGTGGAGGGTGAGAACGACTTGGAACGTTGGAACAGTTGGAACTAGGAACTATTTGTCATTGGACTGCATTGAACACATGTGCTGGTTCCCATTGATATTCTTTTCCCAAACTGCGATGACAATTAATGACAAGTAGGTTTCTCGCCGAAAAAAAAAACGGGGCATTCCACTTCTCTTGTATCTCGCGTGCACGAGAAAGATGTACGACATATGCCATCCCAGCGTGAGTAATCGTTTTACTCGGATAATCAAAAAGATGTGTGCGATCTCTTTATTCCGAGAATGTGCATGCCTATGTATGTATAAATATTTCGTACGTAAGATTATTTTGCAATCGTTCTCAATGTACGCTTTGCAGTATTATCATCTGTGCAAACTTGGCTGTAATGACGCGATAAAAACGAGCACCGCCTTTTATGTCTACATTGAAATATGCGAAGGTATTGTATTTAATTTAAGGGGATGGTAAACATGAAATCTATTCTTGTGACGATTTTTCAGTGAAGCGCTACTGGGATGTCAAATACAAGTATAACGAAGAACTTGACGTGATCTATTTTGAAGTGAAGAAAAGGGAGAATTCTCAGACGGAGATCTATGTGCCTTGGCCAACGAAATACAACATCTGCTTGGACAAGATTGAGAAAATGCAACAATTATTGCAAAATAAACGGTAATTTTGCAATTTTATTTCATTCTTAATTTTCATGTATCTGATATAACGTGGTTCTATTCCTGTTCTTTTTAGTTGAACTTCTTGCACGATTCATCTTCCTTCCCTTTCTTTCTAAAAAAAATTTATTCTAAAAAAGAATGATCTATAATAATGAATATATATTATATTTCTAAATGTAACAAAATTTGATTCAACAGATTGACATTCGTATTTAAATCGGAAGATAGCAGCAGTGTTTTCTATACAGTGACCACTGGCCTCTCAAAACCAGCTACACCAGAAACGAGTAAACAACAAAAAGAAAAAGCTGAAAAGATACTTAACTTGGAAAGTGAAATTCGAAGGAATACATCAAATTTACATGAATTAGCAAAGACTTTAAGTTCTACTCACGAAACTAGCGAACAAATTGATTTAAATAGCACAGATTCTTTGAATATCGAACATTCTAGTGTGGAGATATTATGATACTTTTCTTTTACTTAATTTATAATTTTGATCTCATCTATGTCTGCTGTCTGTATATTGGTATTTATCTTTTTTTGTTACACACTTTACAACTTATGTATCAAACACATAACAGTTAAACACGTAAAAAGTACTGATATATTGGAAATAAACCTAATATGAATATATTGTAATTTTTTTTGTTGAACATAATAAAATAATTTTCGTTGCAATAAAAAAATAAACCGTGTTTATTAAAGAAGGTGCATTTAAAAATAGGGAGAGATGTATATTTTTAATATTTATTTTTTAAAGTAATTCACATATATAATGCGGATTTTAAGAATACTTCTAAGGATTGCGTAATTGTTTAAAGTGATATGTGATAAGCTGCCACTGCAAATATATGAATCAAATAAATTAATTAAAAAAAATTTTCATCTCTAGCCATGTATTATTAGTAGACACTACAAAATACGAGGCACATAAATTTCCTTATTATAAAACTAATGATAGACGTAGCGAACATTTTAACCAAACTTACATCTATAGTAATTTCTATGTAATTATATATAAAAAAATACGTATAACGAAATAATAATCTAATAAATCTTTATGAATCAAGAGTAAATCTATCTACAAAACATCATAGGATGTTTGTATATATGTACATAAAAATTTTAAATTATCGCATTTTGGACCATACATATGTTCCATAAAATCATTAAATAATTTAATTCTTTCTGTAAAAAGCTGCGTATATCAGTGGAAAAAATAATTTGTTCACACACGATGCCATCTTCTAACGTATACCAAGTTACACATTGTAAAACGGAAAATACAAAACGATATGATTTGATGTAAAAATATTTTTATCATTTAAAATCGTTTTAAAAGATAAAGTTTTCAAAGATTGTAGGCTTCGGCAGTTGAAAGTAGCGTAAAAAAAAAGATATTGCATAGCTTTTTTCAGCTATGTAAAATACAAAAATAACATACACGTCAATGGACATATAGAATCTAGAATGTTATTTTTTGCGAAATGTAAATAATTTTATTATTAAATTAATGAAATATTAGGGTTTTTTCTCGCGCAAGATCCATTTCAAATTGCTTCACAAATTACAATATTATATTTTTTTTCTGCCTGTTTTACTACTAAATGCGTTGTCACGTAAATTTTCATAAATTTTATATTCTTTACTTCAGAGCTGTATAATATTAAAAAAATCGGATTTGAAGCTTTATATACACTAATAGAAAACAGGCATATTAAAAATTATTCATATCTTTCAAATTATCTTCCACTGTCGTATATTATGTTCAAGATCCGAAAATATTTTAGAGATACCTAAAATATTTTTCTACAGATCTGAACTCATCCTGCATGTACAAGAATTATATATAAAATAGATACCAAAATGGTTATATATGTATATAAATTTATAATTGCAGTAAGGCAACTAGATCTCGAGATACTCGAATCTATCACTAACACACGGTTAACTTTTCATGATAATATTCAATATTGAAAACGTAATTTCACAAGGTAAATTCACAAATAATTCTGGTCATTACATATTTACGCCTTATTAATATTAAAAAGAGCAATATTGAAAATAAAAACTTGGTAAATCTCACTAACATAGATAATAATATTTCAGCAATCAATATTTACAATTAACAAAATCAGATTTAACTATATTTTAATTTCATAGTATGACAAATTGAACAAATCTACAATAAAATTAAATGAACTATATCATAATCAAGTTATACATTTACCAAGTTCTATTTGAAATATCTCATTTACATATAAAGTCCTTAATTCAATCTTCAATTTTAATTCTAAAACATACATTTTTAGAGATAAATGAGGTCGAAAAGTTTATATACAATATCGGATTACTTCTTACTATAATAGTTAGAAATTTTTCTAGTTCTATTTCATATTACATATCAAAAATTGTTCGATTATTGTAGGCACCTTTTAAGAGATGAGTGAAGTGTATCATGGGTTATATACCTTTAATTAGATTGTGTATGTGTGGAAGTTCTACAGAAAGAGAGAGAGAGAATCGAAATCTTATAAAGGATTAATTATTAAATACTAAAGTTACAATATGTAGATAATAGCATCTGCAAAGAAGTTCCGTAATAATTAGAAGAAAAATTAATTTAAAAGTTTTTTGTAAGTAAAAATCTAATAGCTACTTCAATATTACACAGCTTTCAAATCATATTCTCTGCAAAAATTAAAACCGAATCTTAAGAGATGTTCAAATATATTCATAGTAAAACGTGGACACGTCTTGCAATAATAATTTGTTGTAAAGTTAATTAAAATTGATCATACAATACTACACGAATAACTATTGAACATAGAAATATCATTCATTATTCTTTCGACACTTTTGGTTATATATTTATATATACATGATATGAAGCACATGAACTAGTAAAAGTATCTTATAAACTAGAATATGAATGTACATAATTAAAATAATGAAATATAGTAATTGGGATACATGTTAAACGAACCTAAAGGATTTTGATATATAATGTGCTGCTTCACATGATGTCACAGGGCTCGTATGTATGTCTAACGTCACCATAATCTTGCAAAATTAGCTATACATAGATTAAATTTCCAATTATCATAACAGACAATATATGATTAATTTAATCAAAATGCTAAATATTACTGTCAAAATGATCATTGTTGTTGCACATACATAGCGCCATTTCAATTTCAATTTTTTATCACATGAGCATGAGCAAGTATAGCTACATTTTGATTTACTTTATGTTTTCTTAATGAATGTTAATTTTTGTTATTATTATGATTATCCTTTAAGTTCCATAAGGATATATAAAATCTTTGAGTAATATTGCATGTATTACTGTACATAATTAGCAATATATAGATAACGAAATGTTGAAAATAATATATATCTTCACGCAAAAGGACATCCATACATATTTAATACTAGCAACAGGACAGTGTCTGGAGATCACTTTTGCAAATGTAATCTAAAATTATTCTCAGTTATATGCAAAAAAAACTTCTTTGTCGAAAGATTAATAGGCTTCATTCGCTTTTTCCTTTGCCTGACAAGAATTGATTGGAACCTCTTAACTTTTAAAAATATGATCATAAATTCATACAATATTACTTTGTATCAAACCAGAGATTGTAAATTCATGTATAATATCTATTTACTAAAAATGTACAAACAACTCATAACATTAGCGGAAAACCTGAGATTCGATAAAAGAAGTTTCTAAAGCGAACTTCGCATTACAAGGTGATTCTTGATGAATGTTATTCTCTGAAAACTTTAGTATATATTTTCGCATTGTCCCTTACAAATAATTAACACCATATAATTCCTAGCATTCAGTACATTTTCGAAAACATTCTAATTTACCATGAGGGCTAAATAAAAAAAAAACGTATTTTGGGAAATCAAAAAGTTAGAAAGATTCTGACGCAATTGTAACGTCTAAAGAATTGCCAGAGTTAAATTGAAAGGGCAATCCCAGAAAAGGTAGATTTCTAAGGCAATGAACAATTAAGTTGCATTCGTCATATAAGATGATTCTTCTTCAGAACGGCTATCCAGGATTTGTGACTGGAATGTCTATGCAAGAGGTCTAAACATACAATTTGTATCAGAAAGATCAAAAATTGAAATGAGTTGACTCATTTTTGGTGAATTTTTAGCTAATATATTGTGTTACAAAAAGCGTTTTCAATTTTATCATTATTATTGTATTATCATGTTTATATCTTCGAAACTCAGACAAACAAATAACCAAAAAAGAAAAAAAAATTTTCTCTTATGGATGAACAATTTTTTCAATGTTCCCGAACTTTCTATTACGTGCAACCGAAAGTGCTGGGAACAACCCAACTCATGATAAGAAAATATTTGTTTCCAATTCTTCTAACCCAGCTTATTGATGAACATGGTGGATACTATGAGGGCCACTTACAACAGAGACTCACAATCTATAAGAAAAGATACCTTATTTAGCGAAGCCATTCGCTAAACAATGAACAATCGAGAGCACCAGAATTATATCCGTCCGCATTAGAAGTTGAGAACGTGATATCAAATAGAAGATATATAGATCTTTTAAGTTTTTAGCCTCTTGGAAATCGTTGCAACAAAGCGAAGAAATCAGTTCAAAAATGGCAGATGGTTTTTTGGAATATTCAAATAATATAGACAAATATGGATTTTATCTTTGTCATACCGATTACTTTAGTTCGAATAGAAGACATTCAGGATGTCTTTGATTTCAAGATGATGTTTGAGATTGGTTATACAATTGATCAGTTACCCAATGATCATCAACAGTTACAATTCATCTGGTTATACTCGAGAAATTAGATGAGATGTTAGTCTCACTAATGAATAGATCTCTTATGGAGCTGCATTCATGTGCACACCACTTTGGTTGAAAATTTTCTCTTGTAAATGTGCCTACTGTGATCATTAACATAGTATCCAAAATAAAAAATCTATACATGATGTATGACATATGATAAAATTGCTCAGATAAACAAACGTGCGTAAATACCACCGACTGCGCAATTTCATAGCATGAAGTAACTTTTTTTTCATTATGTGGATATTTTCTCATGGGAAAAATATACACATCAACATAAACTAATCGTAATAATTAATATCTCTATTAATTATTACGGCTAGCACCAATCAGCCATATAAGTAAAGTCTTTAAATAGACTCTGCTCTAGGTCGCTAAGAGGCCGAGGATCTTTTGGAGGCGTTAGTTGTGGCTTCTCTGATGTGAACTCTTCATCGAAATTACTTACATCTTCCACTGAATGCTAATAACAGAGAAATATTTTCCATGCAAATATTACATTTAAAAAAATATCTAATTTACTTCTGACATTTCAACTGATATTTAAAATTTCCATGACAAAATAGATGTAATTTCTTTCTCTCTTATGTATTCAAATTTGAATTAACAAATTAATACTTACAATTACTGGTACGAAAGGTGGTTTCACGCGTCTTAGGAGTAAATCATCCCAAGCTATATGTCTGAAAAATGCTTGTTTCTTAACATCTTCGGCGTCTCTTTCACTGCTACCTAATCTCCTTTCTGGATTCTTTCTAAGTAACTGTTACAGAAAATACACGTGGATAAGTTTTATATAGTGAAACAAAAAAAAAGTAGTAAAATAAAGATACTTACTCTTCTCATGATTGCAATTGCTTCCAAAGAAAGGAATCTTGGATATCGTACTTCGTCATTTACAATAGAATCAAAAACTTCTTCTTCGTCATCACCTGGGAAAGGGGACTGAAATACATTTTTATTTAATATGCAATATACACATATTTAAAATAAATTATATATTATGTAAAAAAAAATAAAATTACCTCTCCAACCAACATTTCAAATATTAAGACCCCAAGACCCCACCAATCTACAGCCCGTGTATAAGAAGTCTCCGTCAGCACTTCGGGCGCTAAGAATTCAGGAGTACCGCAGAAAGTACCTGTTCTGTCTCCAAATCCCATACCTTCTTTACATAAACCAAAGTCTGCGATTTTAACGTAACCTTCTGTATCTAATAGCAGATTATCTAACTTCAAGTCTCTGCAAATAAAATACACTATAAAATATATAAACTATAAAAATATATATTGTTGAATTACTTATATGCCCATTATATACCTGTAAATAATACGATTTTCGTGTAAATATTGCAATCCAAGAACTACACAAGCGGAATAGAACACAGCGCGTGGCTCTCCAAAAACATCAGCATGTATATGCATCATAAGATCACCGCCAGCTGCATATTCCATTACAAAACATACGTGTGCCTAAAAAGAATTCATTTTTCTCATTCTCTTCTATCTTATAAAAATGTATTAAAAATACTAGAATAAAGAACTATTATCCGTACCTCAGTTTGAAAGCACGCAAATAAATTAACGAGGAAAGGATGGCGCGTCGTGTTTGCTACTTCAAATATTCTCTTTTCAGAAAGCAATGACTCCACTTCATCTCTGGCTATAATATCTCCTTTCTTCAAGGCTTTAATTGCGAAGTACTCTCCTGTATTTCTATATTGCGACAGTATTACTTTGCCGAAATGTCCACGACCGAGTACGGAGAGTAGTCTGAAATTCTCCAAAGTCATACCAGTGAGCTGAGAATGCCTTCTTGATTCGTAGGCACTATCTCTATATTGAAGAGGTCTAACTGGCATTTCATATACAACCTGAAAGACAAAGTTATAATTGAAATAGCTAGTTACAAAATAGTATTTATTACATAAATGAATATTTTAATGCATTATTATTATTAAGTTAGGTATTATTATTAATATTAAGAGTAATTACTGTATATAAGAGAATTATATGTTAGTATAATCATAAAAATAAGATATTTTGAAGATGTGTCCCTAGATCTTACAATAGCAGGTTAGGCTGTAATAGTTTAGTTATTAAAATTTTCATGTGATTATTAATTTTATGTCTATCTAGCGTATACTATAAAATAATTAAAATACATGCAATGCATAGAAAGATTCGGAGAAAGAGTACAGATTAAAGATAAACATATATATATAATGATGATAATTTATAAAGATAAAAATGAAATAATTTACATTATAAGATAAAGCATTACAAGAAATTATATTTCTTTCTTCAATATTTACATGCAACATACTAAAGCAAGCAAAGCACTATGTGTACGTGGAGGGTATGTACCTCATCCTCAGGAAACTCGACGACAGGTTGGGGCGAGGGTGTGCGTGGAGAGGGTGGTGCAATCAGTACAGGGCGGGGCTCTGTCACAAGGGGCCTCAAATTTGCACCCTGAGGCCCGCCCTTTTCCTCGTTGTGCAGAAAATCAAACTCCCTTAATGCACTCTGTAACTACATTGCTGTCTCTTTACCTCTAATTCTTTATTGACTGCAGCAAATTTTAGATTGCGCATCGAAATTGTTTAAACTGAAGACATGCATAGTTATTATCTTTAATATATAATTTGAATTTTGAAATATATATTTTACAATAGCTTTATGATTTATCATAATAGGGAGTTTAAATTTTTGTTTTCGAAAAATTGAAAGGACAGTGTAAATATATAAATTGCTTTAATCGACTGTGCGAGAAAACAAAATTATATTATATTTATTGTAAAATAATTCATGTAACATATATATATAT